GCTTCTCAACTTGATTTTGATAATTTACAATTCTTTACTTCAGCTAGAAATTTCATTCCAACAAGCCACAGACATCAAATAATCCCAAACTACCTTTTTTCCCTACAAAAGTTATCATTTTTACAATTTGTTGTGCTGGAACAACAATAGTAGAGGAGCTGAAAAAATTTCTCAGCAGCCCAGCTTTTAATAGCCTTACCCCTAAGATGCAGGCATCATTAACTGTCTTCTCCATATAAAATTTCTGCTCAATACATTGTCTACTTAGGTTGTACTCTGCTAGAAGGAACAAACACCGTCTTTTCTAAATCCTGATGTCACTTATATTTATTACTGAATTATCAGAATCTACTGAATTATATTCCAGCATATATCTGAGACATGGACCCAAGATGCTATCAAATCACATGAAAAGCTTTTCATATTTTCTGTACTCTCAAAGAAGTAAAAACTGAGCAATGTTCTAGATGTTTGATATCTTCTTATCCACAGAATGATGCACCACAGTGCTTTAACTTGAATTGATCATACCTTTTCAGCTTTTAAAGTGTAATTCAAAATACATTTCTGTATTTTATAAACCATTATGTTTCTCTGACACACTACACAATTAAACAACATGAACAAAAGTTTTCATAAAATCACACATTTTAGACATTATTATGCATAGTAATTTATGATCTTTTTGTACATTATCCACACAGTTATATAAAATAATTTCCATATTTGCTTGAATCTGATGTTTACCTTATATTTCTCTTTTTCAGGTCCCATCCCAGAAGACATGCAGACAATGTTAACTATGCAGTTAAAACCTACTTGTTTTTCACCTCTTTTTTCTTACAATCTAACAACTATTACATTTCAAAAATAATACAGTTCAGATTTTGCTACCAACAAAGAATAAGACAGTTAGAAACTGCTACTCTGAGTGCCTTGTTCCTATTTTAGATAGTTATCTGTATCTTGTCCACAGCTATTGTATACATTTAAGAAACTTTCCTTATTTATTTGGTTCTTTCCTAGGCCTAACAGTGTCTTTGAAGTTCATTTCAACAACAGAAGCAATTAAAGTATAATTTCCACATTAGCAATGCAGACACTTGAAATAACATCTATTTCATTAAGCAAACTTCATCAAGCTATACCCAACCAACTGCATCCTGTGACAGGACAATTGCAATTCATCCATTTTATTTGCAGCAACATAGGTTTGGCCCACATGTCTGTTACGAACCATTGGTGGGTGGCTTTGCAGGAAGATTCTGCATCATAAGCTTCTCATCATACAATAAACGCACCACCTCACCACATAGTGCTGGATCTAAAAGGAAAATGTCCTTCTTAAAACTCGTAACAGGTCCACGTATTTGCAGTCGGAAGAATTAATTGCCATTGTTTTATCTTGTGTAACTGCAAAAGCTTACAAAGGTCTGCAGAAGTTATCCATCTCACAGTCCATAATTATGCACCTTTCCATATCTTCTCACACTCCTCCTTACCAACTTCTACAGACCTTTAAATTTTTGCTAACTTCATCAATCTCCTTATAAAGTAGGGAAAATTTTGCAAACCACTCCAAGGCCCTAGATGCAAAAAGCCATTAAGAAAGTGGAAGTGCTGCCTACACAAGCCGCAACCTTGTACGGTTTCTTAGAAACCTTGTATGGTTTCTAAATTCCACTTAGAAACCATACAAGGAAAGTGTTCCTCCTGTAGCTGAGATGCCTTTGCTGATGAGCATCTGAGAGATCTGCCTGGGTGGGCAGTGACAACCTGGCACGGCAACTTCAGCAGGCATAAAACACATGCAAATACAGTACACCAACAAGCTGCACAGGTCTCCACATCTCCCCTCTCTCCTGTTCTGAGAACAGTGACAGCAACTGTACGTGTGTCCATCCAACACACTCTTCCAGACCTACCTAATGTACACAGGGGGCAGAGGATACATTTGCTCTCGATTTATAGTCCACCTGGCCCACAGTCTACTACTGCTGCCTAGTAAAGTCTCATTGTTAAAACACAGATTGGTAATTGAGTTGAGGCATCCAGTTCAGTTTCACTTGCTTGACTGTAAAATATCTCTGCATTGGCTCCTCTTTGCAACATGCTGTGCCAGTATTTTTATGAAAGTTTCATATATTTAAGTGCTTTGCAAGATCAAAATGTAAATTGTTCTTATTTTTTCATTGTTTGCCTTTTTTGTTCACAGGGTTTTTTTGTTTTTTTTTTTTTTTGTTTTATTTTGGTTTTTTTTTCCAAATTTCTCTAATACATTAATCAAACTTCTTTGCTATCTTACTCTCAACAATTCTCAAGGCATTTTTCCTTTTGGTATAATCTGAATATGTGTAAAGATTTTCCTATTTTCCAGCAGTGTGCACTTGTAGAGTTTAAAAGTGACACTTTACATCAGAGACCTAAGACAGCAGCAGTTACAATGTCAATCACCAACACAACTTGGTGCCACCAGCAGACCGCACAAAGTCCACTTCTCAAGCTGGAGTACAAGGCAGAGTTCACTGCCTTGTACTCCTGAGCACTCCCATTTCCATTGCACAGGAAGCAATTCCTGCGGCAGAAGTGGGAAGATAGACATGGCACCTTCATAGCAATCAAGGCACCAAAGTAGGCTTCCTTGGGCCGCCAGTTCCACAAAGCCAGTATTAATTCTTCAGTTTTCTGTGTAACTACTCTTGTACTCACAAGTATTTCTATTTATTCCCCCTTCCATCCATTTTAATAGGGACCTTACCCAAAAGCAAACACTCAGCAGTATTTGGCATTGATCACACTAACCCAATGCATTTACTGCTTCAGATGCTAGGGAATTACACTTTACCTCTTGAAATCAAATTTATGTTTTTATTTACTACATCCTTTCAACAATTACCTTTGTGTGTTTTTTAATTAGATCATCAATTGCTCCTATTGAAATAAAAATAACTAGGTCTATTCTTTTAGGATTTTATATTTTTCACAACAAACATTAATTAGTTACTGTACAAGTTTCAGAAGAGTAATTGCTTTTAAAGAATGATATTCAAGACCTGTAAGCTTTTTGGTATTACAGGTTAGGCTAGAAGAGAGTTCATTATTATATATACTGTGCCATATTTCCTCAGTTCCTTTATAAAAACAAAACAAAACAAAATGCAAGCCCCAAAAAACCCAGAGTAATTCCAGCATCTGACTTTTTCTCAATGCTCCATGGTTTTTTATCTCAAAGAATATTTTAATGTTATTAGTGGTTAGGCTTTCTATTGTTTTACCCATCATAGCACAGCAGCTACTTGGCTCATTTTCTTGTTAAGAATGCTTTCTGTCTCTGAAGATGTTTATCCCAAATTCATCACCATGACATCCTGATTGGAGCCTTTGCTCTTCCAAAGCAGCTGCAGAACTTATAATCACTAAGAAAACCCAATCAGAGACATGAAAGTTTCATCCATACATTTTACAAGTCTACCAGTTGTGAAAAAGAGATGCCAATGTGTGAAAACGATATGTATAAATCCATACTTGAGTTTTCCACGGAAGCAGTGGAAGTGACTTTGTATGTGGATTCTATCCTCATTCTGCAATCCTTGCCCTGCAAGGTGTCAATAAACACTGCTTCTCCATCCCTTTTCCTAGTGAATTTATGACCACATTTCATTCTCTCTGGCATCAATATCCAACCCAGAAAGGAGCAAAGGCAAACACCCCAGAAGATGGCAGATTTGAGCTCAGCCAACAGCCTTTAAAAAAGCCCTGTGAGTCCTTCCTCTGCTTTTAGCCTGTACCTTTCAACTCCACTGCAAACTCTGTATTTAAGGAGATATGCATTTATCACCTTTTGCAAAATATACTAGAAATCTTTGTCAATCTTTGTCAATAATGGTCAATAAACTGAAAGCTATCAGTCTTTTTTAAAACATTTTTTTGAGCATTTGTCAAAAAAAAAACCTTAAACCTTACCAAAAAAAAAAAAAAAAAAGTTTTTTTTTTCCTCTCTGGACATAAAACGTACACTTATTATAAACAAATATTCTATCAACCTATCCTCAAAAGGAGCAATGCTTCGATATCATTTCCTTTCAGCCATAATCCCAATACAGCTGTTTCAACAGAGCCAGATTACTTATACACACATTACTTATAATTAATGGCAAAAATTCAGAAGCAAGTATGTATCTTATTGTTGTATACTGTACATACATGACAATCATTCAGTCTTTCTCATTCACAGGGACATTTACATAGAAGTTGGTACAAATAAGGGTGGCAGAGTCCAGAACTTGTTTGCATCTAATTTACTGTAGATATGTGTAAATTTTCCCAGCATTACAATGCATTACTTTACTCCCTGCCCAAGTATGACCAAACGGTGCAGTTCAAAAAATTAAAACCAAACATGAAATACACTTAATAAATATATATGGAGCATAACCTAACAATTGCTGCATGGTATCAATGGTAGCAAAAGGTATTATTGTGCAAATTGCATAACATAATTCCACTTAAAGCAATGGACTGTTATGAATAATAAGTTATTAGACTTGTAAGAAATAGAGTAGAAAACAATGCTCAAACAAAAGAATTTTAAGAATTTAGCCACCATTATGTCTCTTTGTGATTAATTTCAAGAAACAAAATTCATAACTGAAGATCCATTATTAGTACTGGTCCAATTACACATGCCCAAAGATGATCAAGATTATATGATAACTTTACATTTAATGAAAGACTTTATTGAAATTTATGAAGCTATGAATTATGTCAGGGTGCAATTTGTTTCTCTGTATTTCATTGCACAGCTATTACATTTTTGCTTAAAGAAGAAGAAAACTCCTTTTTATTACTAGGAATGAGAGACTATGGGTATGGTCTGATTAAGTATACACTCTACAAGCCAGCAGATAAATATTTCTTTATGACTACCAAACGTTTTGGGCTTAATTTCAAATTAATTAACAGCAAACACAATCTCATATCCAATTAACAAATTCACTCACCATTATTCCAGTAAGTAAACAGACCCCTTTTCCACAGTATGTATTTGGTACCATATCCCCATATCCAATGGATAGAAAAGTTATTGAAATCAACCACATTGCTCCAAGGAAATTGCTAGTAACATCCTGTTGGTCATGGTATCTGAAAAGAAGAAGAAAACAATTTCTTTATAGTGAAAACATATGTTAAACTATTGTGCTCTCAGAAAAAAATGCATTAACTGGTCCATACAACCATTTTTGTATACAATCTCATTTTAAAAGCAGCTGTAAGGAATTAAATATAACTCAGATACAATTACATGAGCAGTAATGAATCAGAAGGTATAGAAATAACACCAGTAGTAGAAATGGTTTATAATTCAGTATCTGGTTATTACTGTAAAGTAGCAGAAATCTCTTTATTTTTAACATAACCTCTTCACCAGGGGCACAAGTCCTGGTAATACTCTGCAGTAGCATAAGACACCAGAATACCACAGTTGCTGCTGTCTGAGGCAAGTGTGAGAGTCAGAACAGGTTGTGTGCACAACCAGACAGCAGAGTGCATCTTCATCTCCTTGGCCTGAGTGCAACGCTATGATCAGAAATCCAATCCTAAATGAACACATAAATGCTGACTTAGACAACCTATGGTCTTCCCTCTCCTTCTACGAGTTCAAGGTAAATAAAATGTATGCCATTGTATTTCTCACCATCAAAAGATGTTTAGCTTAAATATAGCAAAAACTCCCTTTAGTGTTTAGTCAGCTATTATGTGAAATTTCACGATGTGCCATGTCTTGACTTAGTTTCAGTATTATAGTAGAATATGTTCCCTTTTCCCTTCCAAAAACTGCCAAGTTCAGAATAATAATCTCATCTTCACATGACATATACACTGAATAAAAGGGGAAGATACATTTTACGTTTAAAAACCTGTTGTCACCACTCAGTCTGTGGTGGGGAAAAAAAAAAAAGCCTAATAGCCTAAAGTAGGGTGGAAGTTTGCTTCCTGGACAGGGCAGCTCTGCCACAGAGACTATCTGCAGCAGCCACTGCAGACTCAAGGTTGCAATCACCCCTACAGCTGCTGTGAAGCCTCCGGTTAACTAAATGCTGTTAGATTCCCCAAGGGTATTATTTTAGCCAGTCCCTAAATCCGTGTCTCACAGCGGTCACAGAGGGACATTTATTTAATTAGTTCACAAATCTGTAAACAACCTTCATCCCACAACTGAAATAACCACTTCTGTTTCCTTCCTTTCCGGACTGCAGTCTCCGTGACGGACCAAGAATGCAGAGCAAGCACATAGGCACTCTCAGGAAACTCCCTGTTCTCACACTTGCAAGATATTCACCATAAATGTCTGTAAAATACTATCTTCAAAGTCCCACCCATGCTCTGATGATTATAACAACATAAAAGCTCTTTGACTGCCAGAGACCACAGCAATCACTCCAATCAAGCCTGTTTCAGACTTCACCTGGATTTTTCTCTCTCCTGCTGTCAGTGTTGTCTCTCACATACTTTATGCAGGTTTTTCTGTTTTGCCTAGAACAAAACCTAGAAAAATGTAGTAAAAGCCCACATTTGGAGGTCCTAAGGACATAAACAATGACAACCACAGCAGCAAAAAGAACGGCAGATTTAACTCATGACCATAGAGCTTTGCATATAGCAAAACACAATCTGACATAGTTTTTTTTTTCCTAGACGGCACTAAATTTTAGGTATTTTAGTCTCCACTTAACAAACGTAGCAAGTAACAGCAGTGAAACAAATATATGGATACAGAGAAAGAAACACAGTTGTCCCATCCAGGAGGCAAGAAAAAAGCCTGTGTACCTATCATGCTAATAGTCCCTAGAGAGTATCAAGTAAAATATATGATCCGTAGTGTCTGGATGAGCTTCACAGAAGGGTACTAAAGCTACAATATATTCTAAGATTAGCAATTGAGGCAAATATTAAGAAATGTCCACATAAATATTTATAATACATTTCTTTAATGCCTCTCTTTGGATTTTGACCCTGGTCATTTCCATGCTTCATATGACTGAAAACAGAACATTCAAATACAACTCACTAAATTCCAGAAATAAATAACCCATAAGGAATATCAAAACTACTTTCTTATGTCTTGAACAACATGGGGAAGAGATAATGGGAGTCTTTATCCATTTATCCTCCTTTAACCATGTCAGAAAACATACAAGCCAACCTACACATAGGTTCTTAAAAAAAGGTGACATAAATTTTAAAATCACATCAGAAGTTCTTCAAGTTTCATTGGAGACACGGAGACATGGAGACAATTAAGGTTCCCTAGATGAACTGTTCATTAAAGGTATCTACATTAATATTTGCTAGCACAATTCAAGAACCTGTTTAAATGTTTCCATCTTGTTAGGTCAGGTGTCCTGGATTTCCTGCTCAGAGTATTTCACCTAGTTATGATTTTAAGGCTATAGTTCAGCAATCAAATGTTGCATGCTTAATTTAAAAATCATCACCAGTACTTATTAATGAATTTACTGTGATTAAGAAACAAAGGCTATGGGAGGACATGAAATTGTTGCAGTTATTGCTGCAACTGCTCAAGCATGCAAATTACATAATTTGCCTAATTTAATATTTCAAAAAAAACTAAAAACTTTTTCTCTTGCAACTGTATATGGAAAGTTGAAGGGCTGACTTCTCAAGTTAAAAATCTGTAGGTAAAATTGAGACAGTATAAAACGGTATCACACTCATGATAGTCCTGTAATAATTTCTTTGACATATTTTTAAGAAGGTGGTTTAATCTTGTCTCATATATTTTGTAACCTCACTTAAGATTTTTGAATCTCTGTGGTTAGCAGTTCTGGTACATGTCTACATGCTTTGGATTTTCATAAGATTACTGCTGTGTCAGCAGAGATTTCCAAGTCCTTTATTAAGCCACTAGGCACCACTACCACTTGACACTCAAGCCTGAACCAGCAAAGCCAGGACAGTCTTCTGCTACCCTGTGTCCACAATCAGGTAAAAAAATATTATTATATCTGCATCAAAGCAGGAAAAGCAGTATCTTAAGAAAGTAGTATTGCAGAATCTTTATTTGTACAGTCATGGAAATGGCTAAAAACTAACACCAGAGGCATTTAAACTACTTTGTTTTGAGGAAAGGGAAAGAAATCAACCCACTGCCTTTAGATGTGTTTTCAAAGTTATCCCAGCATCAAAGAGTGAACTTCTCCATTTATGCAGGGAATAGCAAAATGGTCACAGCAAAAGTTAAACTTTCTCATATTTTTCTATAAGAGCATTTCTAATGTGTGGCTGTAGAAGCCACCAGAAGACCTCATAAAAGCCATTCCTACAACTGGATCTTTCACTTCACCATTGAGATTATCCCCGGTAGAGTCAATTCCAGTGGACATTATAGAAAGCAGAAAAGCCAACCACACCAGCACTGGAGCAGAGCTGTCTTGCTCTCTGTCAGTAATCAGAAGGCACTACGAACATCTCCTCATTCCAGCTGGACTTTGAAAGACATTCCAATATTCAACTGTAGTTTTCCCAAAGTATCCATTCACTCTATATCTGAAACTTCTGAAATCCAACAGGAAAACAGTTTACCATGGAAAGCTAGGAAGCCTGAAATTTCAGAATTAAAGAAATAGAAAAAAATATTTCCTTTCAGTGAAGAGTTTCACACAAAGCAGAATCTTGTCATTACCAGCCAAATTTCAAAACGGAAGATTTGTTGTCATTAATTCTTATTTATAAAAAGGTTTTTATTTTTATATTTTTTAAATTTTTTAAATTAGTCATGGCAAATATTCACATAAATATTTAAAGCCCATTATTCTTAATGAACAAAAATCTGCATAAGAAAGATTGTGAAACACTTGAAGATAAGAACTAGTATTTAATTGTATTAAACCTGCATATTTAATTGTATTAAACCTGTTTAATTGTATTACATCTAAATCACATGCAGTGTGATTTTCCTGATTACACCCAGCCTCACACAGCTGCAGCATAAAGGGTCATTTAGAAAAGCTATGTATTCCTTCAGTGTACAAAAATCATTGGCTGAAGTCACATAGGCATAAGAATTATTTATCACACTTCATTTCTAATAAGGAATATGTCAGCAGGCAGGCAGTGCTGCAGCTGGAACACACTATTCACCAGGCAATCATCATCCCATGAAACACCACTATCCAGTTCTCACCAATCAGCATATATAAGTCTTGACACCACTCTAATTTAAACCAAAAATAGCTGAATTATTATATTTGTGAAAAAATAGCATGGCTCAATTCCTTCTCAAGCCAAACTGAGTGGGAGTTTTACAACTCATCTCAGAAAAATATAAATATATTCCTCAGGCGACAACACTGCAGTGGCTTTGTTTGTCAAAGAAATATTTCAAATTCTTTATCAAACAGCAGTCTCTTTCTTCTGCTTTCACTGTTGGTGTCATGATTTTCAGTACTGCTTCCCTTCCCTGTGTGTATGTGATGAAGTTTCATTTATTTGGTAGAATGTCTGCTTTTTCGCTGCACATAATTAACACACATTCACATCTGGACATCTAAGACACATTAATCTTAAAAAAAGATTAATAAGAAGTAATCAAGTATAACATTAAGCTTGACCACTGGTGCATTAATTCACACTCAGCAGTTTCAATTCCCATGAACAGCCTCTGATAACTTTGCTATTTTCGGTTTTGCCCCCTTGAACAAGTCAAGGAAGGAACTAAAAATGATTGAAAAGATGGCCATTTCTGTAGGGAAGAAAATGGACTGCTTTTACCATAATCAAGAAGAAAGTCCTGCCAATGGCAATTCAGGCTGAGTTTTTTCTTGTCAAACATAAAAATATTTTAGACTATTAACAGCTGGAAACAGACTTATCCCAGTAAATCAGAAACTTGTCAAGGCTCTGTTGAGAAACTGATTGATCTAACCACCTATTAGAGCTCCCCCACAGTATCAGACCATTCTGTTACTAACTGTCTTTTTAGTCTTAGTTAGAAGGTTAGTACCAGCAGCACTTTTATCTATGATGATAGCAGAGATGTCTTTGTACTCCTTCTCCCTTCCTCCTGTTTAAAAGAAAGGAAAAAAGAAATCCATAATGGCACATGGAAGGAACAATGGGGC